GGGGACATCAGAGACCTTCTTCTAATTATCTTAAAGTAATATGATGGCAAGGAATCATGACTCCCACTAACCTGCTACGAAGTGAAGCATAAGCAATCTCAAGGGAGAATCATGACTTATTTCCTGAGCTATCCTCCTTTTCTACTGTCTAGAATCAGTTGTCGTTAGGCAAAAGTCGAGAAACTTGGATTAATTCCCTTATCAATTCATGATTTGTCAAATCATGGAGTGAGAGTAAATTTTGAGCACATACTAAAAAGTAGGACTATATCTCTAATTTTTTAGCCAACTCCAAATAGTTGGGTTAAGGCTCGAATGATAATGATGATGATTTCGGTCGTTTTTAATCCCAAAAATCTATTTCCCAAAGCCTTGGTGTCCGATAAAACAAGGAAGATAGATTGTTGTATCTTAAATCCTTTATAATTTCAGAGTCGATAGAGCATGAGAGGCAATCAATGGACATCTTAAGGCAAGTAAGATGGTCCTTTCAACTTCCTTTCCTAATACTAGCTGGGTCCCGAGGTGACGTGTTCTTTTTGGTTTAAGCTATTGTATTTTATTGAGCTTCAATGAATTGGCTCATGCGTGCTCATTCAATTACTAAGCCGAAGGAATATTCAATTTTAACCTACACTAAAATATTTTGGAACAAAATAGAGAATCATATGGGACACAAAGATGAAGAGAGCGTGTAAATTGAAAGGGGAGGGAGAGAACCAACTTATGGTGCACTTTAAAAGTGTTGGGTTTATGTAGCCTTTAAAGGTCTTATGAGTACTTGTAAAATGAAATGATATAGTGGAACATAAACTCAATGGGAGTGTGGTCTCTCGTGGACCATACTAAGCAAATGATGATTTGCTGATACCGATCTATGCTTAATGATCTAGGCCAGTCGGTTGGGAAAAACCAATGTTACCTGGGCATGAAGAACAAACCGATGAGGGTTTATGGGTTAGCCCTTGATGAGGTCGGAGAACATGCTCGGATGAGTGAGCCGAGGGATTATGTGACCCATGTGTGTGATGGTGGCCTACAGAGACAGGGGCCAAAACTTCATCCATATACCATCACACAGCATGCATATCGATAGATCATTTGGGAAAGCCAGAAATCCACCTTTTAAGGTGAAGAGTATACATGTACGAGAGATACCCCTATGCACCATAAGAGTTATGGTCGCATCAAGTCTAGGTGACCTTGACTCATCTCAAGGGGAGGACCTGAAATCCACAGACTGGGATTGCGATCCCTTGGTTCACTGGCCGGACTTTGGTGACTCGCTAATAAGCCCCTGTTTGGACTGTGGGACATGGGAAATACTAAGTCGGTCTGATAAAGCAAGTGTGATCTGTAGTCCACAGTTGAAGGTGGAGTGCCCCATGATTGTTAATTCCTAAACCATATGGATCCTTTTCCTTTCAAATTAATTTAATTGTATTTGTTTTATGATGAAAATTATTTTCATATTGTTATTTGAAGTTTTATAAACCCCTGGATATTTCCTTTATAATTTTTTGATTTATAAAATTAAAGATATTGATTTTACAAGTGTTTAAATATTTAAATAATAATTTAAAATTATTTAATTAATTTTAAATATATAAAAATACCATGGGGGCCTATTGTGTACATGAGCTCGCCATATTTTTAGAAGGTGGGGCCCATGAGTGCCTCCCTTGGGTGGCACACCCCACCCTTATTCTGTTTCCTAGTTTTTGGTGATATGGCATGTGGCCATATGGTTAGAAGATATTGACTAAATATTGACTTGATATATCTTTGAAAGATTTTGTGGAAAGATTAAGAAGACTTGTGTTATTTTATGGTATGCACAATATTTTGATTAGATTTAATTTATTGAATTTCTATTGATGAGAAAATGGATTAGGAAAGGGGGATATTGGTTTATGCACCTTTCATAATGTTGATGTCCCATCTATGAAATGGATGGCTTATATCTCTCACCCCACAAGTTATCCTTAATCGACAGTCTATGTTCAATCTCACAAAAAGAGGCAAGTCAAAGAAAACCCTAAGAAACCCTAATCTTATTCAAAACTTATAAAAATAGATTGTCTCTGCCAAAAAATCTCTACACCTTATCTTTCTATTTATCTCTATTAAGAAAGTTTCGCTCTCTCATGTTCAATCTCTCTCTCTCCTACATTATGGAAGAACCTAAGGTTTTAGGTTATGGAATTCTTCTCTCTTATCTCTCAAATATAGATTTGTGGCTAAAGGTCTTAGGGTTTAGCAAAAAGAGAATCCATCTCTCTCAAACTAGCTAAGAGAATTCACCTAGGGTTTGAGTTTGTGATCAAAGGGATCCATGTTCCATTGGTGTGGCTAGGCCAAAATTTTTCGGTTTGAGATTGAAGCTGGACCGTTGATCCCACGTCATCGGATGGTGGTGACTCGGTGTGGGGTGTAATAAGCATGGTTGAGGTAATCTCCGACAGTCTTTCTTTTGTTTCTTGCAATCTTATCTTTTATTCTCAAGCATAGTGCATAGTTGTTTCAATGGCATCAAGTTGTTAAGATCTTGGTTTTATTGTTATGCTGATTTTATTTTGAAATTTATCTTATTATAATAAAGATTACATGTAAGTGATCCTTTGCCAAAAAAAGAGGGTGAAGAAAAAAAAAAAAAAAATGTATTTTCCTGTAAAAGGTCACATAGGTCTTTCTTACAAAAAGTTTATCAGACAAAGTTGTTTTAATGGTGAAAAACCCTCCGATTAATAAACTCTAACTCAAGATGTATGGATATGAAGAAAATAAAAGATATTTCATGTCTCAAAAGTAGTCCATCTTGTAACATATTATCTTGACTATTCATTTTCAAAATTTTCATGTGTGTTTAGTTCTACTTGATCTGATCCATTATTAGAATTTTAATTTTATAATTAAAGATCAAAATGGACTTTTAGCTTACCTAATAAAAAGAAAATATTAGCATGGTAGAATGTAGCACGATGGAAAGTGTACATTGAGATATTGTCATTCTTAAGGTAACAAGAGAGAAAATTGTATATTATATGTAATAAGATAGAAAAATGCACATTATGCTTTTGTATTACCATTATATATATAATGAAAGAACTACCTCAAAAAATTAATGTAGGTCATAATCATCTTCTCAAAAGTTCTTTTCTTTCTTTAGAATTCTGTATGGTATTACAGCACTTGTTGCTACTGCACAATCGAATCGATCGGTGAAGTAGAGTCGGCAGACAAAATAAATTTAGAGAGCAATCAGTATTTCCGTTTGTATTTGTCTTTAAAGGTCAGTACCTATCTTCTTCCTCAATTCGTCCTCCATAATTTTCCAATCAAATTTTGTATTTTCTCTCTATAAAAAAAAAGAAAATAAGTCCTTTCTCTCTCCTAGCTTCCTGAACATTACCCTAATTAGAAACCACACCCAAAAAGTAAAGTCTCACTTCAATTCTCTTTTGGACTTTTTCCAAAGTTAAACCGGACATAAAATTATAGTTCGGATGTGAGAGAGCATGCAATTGATCATTACGACTCGACAATCCTCGACAAAATACATTGTCTCAAACAAAATTCAAGTCCGTAAAGTAATGTACCCTGTTCAGATAATGTATTTCTAAATATTCTTATACTTGAGATACCCATTAATTTAATTGTTTGGAGCCTCGCTCTTATATAAACTTTTTCCCAACATAAATATTGTATGATGACCTATTGTATATTTACTCCTTGTTAAGAATCGCTGGATGATTATTTTATTGAAAGTTTAAAATTCGAGTTGTAAAAAGATTAAGATCCTACCATCAAAAAATAAGAAGGTTTTATTGAATTTTATGACATTATTTATATCATTTGAAACGCATGTGGCGTTTTAAAATTTATTTTCTTACATTGCGTTCATTAAAATATTCTTGGATTGTTGAGTGAACATTGAATAATATGAGCAATTTTGTCATGACATGAAAAGGAACCTTTGGTGCCAAGTTCTCATCAGCGCAGGGTAGAGGGCAACGTTCACCCACTACAATCGGACCCATCGGCAAACACCATCCTTTCTTCCATGCTTGTCAAGGAGAATCAGCGAGCTGGCCACCAACCGCACCCTCCCTTTTTGTTTATATGCAAATAAAGTAATAATAATAATCAAGGTGAAGGTAATATAAGATGCGGACCTTATACTATACAAGTGCAGCGCACCTCTAAATTTTGACCAAAGATATCGGTTGGGTATTGGAAATTTTGTGATAGCTTGAAAATCCATGTTCAAACCTAATTACAAAATTTAAAATTCAAAAAGGATAGTATAGAATGATACCATTCAACTTTGGTACAAGGTGAGACATTAATCTTGACCATTGGATGTGAAATTGGGTGGCTGCAATTATTCCATTACCAAGCTCAAACTTCAAAAGAAATGTTTCGAACTTTGTGACACATCCAAGCTATCAAACTTGACATTGAGCAGTTGTAAGTAATTGTGACCACCTTGTATCAAAAATAAATGGTGTGATTGCATATAATCCCAATTTAAAAAATGTTACAGATCGAGCAGAATTATAAATAAATAAAAATCTTAAATATAGATGGTTCAATAGTATGAGATCCTCGACTTGGTCGGAGGGCTTAAAATATCCTTCCAGCACGTTTACAGGGAAGCAAATTCTTAGGTTGATTCTTTAGCTAAAAGCAAAGTGTCTTTCAAATGCTTTTGGTTTATGATAAAGTAAATTTGTTGTAATACCTCATTTAGAAAAATAAATTTATTAATATTTGTCAAAAGAAAAAAAAAAAAGATTGGTACAGTTAACTTGATATATAAGGTGCTATATTTAGGACATGAAATTTTATATTCATATCGAATAATCAATGGTTTTTTCCAATTCCATAACAATCTTTTAAACTAAAATTTTTAGGTGAATCTTATATCTATAGTATAAAGCTGCAACCCTGTGTAAACCTTTCCTTCTTGTTATTGGAATTCCAAAGAGAAAAGGAAAGAGAATTCCGGATTTATGGGTCTTCCATCCTGCGGTTCACGCGTTATGTACCCAAAGTTGAATTTCAAACAATCTGAACAACTGAAAAGCAAAAGGATTTCCTAACTTTGATGAACCATTACCTCTTTTCTCTTTATATATCCCTCTCTCTCCATTCTAAATCAAATACTTAAGAATACCATAATCCTGAAAATCCGTGGTTATTGTTGAGGTCAGCCATGGCGCGTGTAGGGTCTCTTGTAATGGCGTCCATGGTTATTTGTGCGTTCATGCTAGATTCGTCGGCGTCTAAGATTCCGGAAAGTGGAATTCGGGTTGATCTGGTGCATGTGGACGCAGGTCTAAACTTCACGGCCCTACAACGTTTGCAGCGAGCAGTCACGAGAGGCAAGCTTAGGCTCGAGAAGCTACAGTCGAAGACGACTGCCGCGTTAGATGGCTCGGGCGAGGTTGATATTGAGGCACCAGTGCATGTCGGAAACGGCGAGTTCCTCATGAAACTAGCCATTGGGACACCGCCTGTGTCCTACTCTGCGATTGTTGACACTGGGAGCGACCTTGTGTGGACACAATGCCTTCCCTGTGATAAATGCTTCAAGCAACCGACCCCAATTTTCGACCCTGCGAAATCATCAACATTTGGCAAGCTCTCCTGCAAGAGCGACCTCTGCCAGGCGCTTCCATCCTCGACCTGCGATCCCGACTGCGAGTATGTCTACACATACGGTGACTATTCTTCCACACAGGGCACATTGGCAACGGAGTTGTTCACCTTCGGGGGAGTGTCAGTTTCGGAGGTCGGGTTCGGGTGCGGCAATTACAACCAGGGCAGAGGTTTCTCACAAGGAGCTGGTCTTGTTGGTCTAGGCCGCGGCCCGCTCTCCCTAATTACACAATTAGGGGGCTCAGTCGCAAACAAGTTCTCGTATTGCCTCAAGTCCATCGATGATTCAGATTCAGCTACTAGCCCTCTCTTGCTCGGTGCTGAAGCCAAAACAACAGGAGAGGTCATCACTACACCGCTTGTTCGGAACCCGGAACAGTTTTCATTCTATTACATAACATTGGAGGGGATCAGCGTAGGAGGTTATCTTTTGCCGATCAAGAACACCACATTCGAAATGAAGGCGGACGGGAATGGTGGCATGATCGTGGACTCGGGGACAACAATTACATATTTGGAGGTAGCAGGATACAGAGAGGTAAGGAAAGCGTTCCTGTCAAAGATGAAGACGCCAGAGACAGACGGCTCAGCAACCGGGCTCGACCTGTGCTTCTCCCTTCCATCGTCTGCAACAGAGGTGGAGGTACCCACGCTTACACTGCACTTTGGCGGAGGGGGAAGCCTGGAGCTGCCAGCAGAGAACTACTTCATCGCAGACGAGAGCACCGGGCTTTTGTGTCTCGCAATGATGCCGGCGTCTGGGATGTCGATATTAGGCAACGTGCAGCAGCAGAATTTCTTGGTGCAGTACGACCTTGGTAAGGAGCTCCTGTCCTTCACATCTGCTCAGTGCGACAAGCTTTGAGAGAGGAAGAAGACCTCTCTCTCTCACACACCTCAGTGTCTGGTTGTCTTGTTGAAAGAAACCTAGGGTAAGTTCATAGAATTCTTAGGGAGATGGCTATGGCGTCGATCCCCATCGTGACTTGACTGGTTTTATGCTGTATACTTCACAATTAAATGAATTTCTTCATATTAATTAAAAGTGGGTTATTTTGATTTTCTTCACTCTAGAAGGCTTCAAAACCGTCCATCTATTCATTAGACGGTGTTAGGCTGCGGCACACCTGGTAAAATTAGGCTCTTCCACCTTATTATTCTACACAAACTTCATGGGATTGTAGCGCGTTTGATTCACATTATTTTGGAATTCCTTTTTCAGGGCATGCATGGCACGCCAATTGACTTTTTTTTTTTGGAATTAAGTTTGGGTGCGGTTTGTATAGAGCCTAGGCTCTAAACAATCAAATTAGAGCCTACCTTCAAATAGTGTCTAGAAATGTAGTTTCAATAGTGAATGTATTTGTGATAGCTTTAAAATATATTTTCATTTTTATTTATAAAATTTAAAGCTTCAAAAATAGTGTAGTTCGATAGATCTATTAACTTGAAAATCTTGAAAATTGATGGTTCAAAATGCATTACAAAATGGACTATTTCCAAAACGTAAAATCCATTTTTTTCTCATATCCATGCATCTTGAGATGATCAATTTTATTATATTTGGGCATCAAAACAACTTCTTCTAATGAAATTGTTAAGCTCAAATTTGATTGTTTAGAGTCTTTGCTCTATATAAACTTCTCCTATTAAGTTTTTATATCTGTATTTTAGTATCTTTGTATTTATTATTTTAATTTTTTCTCCAATCTAATGTTTTCAAGATTATAAAAGATATAAAATTAAACTAATCCAATATGTCTACCGAATGACTTCCAATTCTTCCTCTTGCAAATAGAACAAACCAATGGTGTTAGCCAGAGGAAAAGTACAGCCTTGTCACCCAGTAAAATAAATCAACGAGAAGAGTGAATTAGCAGAAGGGAGAGTATAACACCTCTGATTTTGGTCGCATGTAGCAAAAGGAAAACTGTTTGGCTATACGGGGAACTGGAGCAGGAACGGATCCACGACCGAGAACGGGATTTTCGGATGGATGTGGTCTAAAAGTTCTGCTACTGCAAGATTGATATCCGTACAACATATCTAGCGTGGAGTTGGATCCCATATATAAAGTATCTCGTCCCAATGGTCATGGGATCTGGATCCCAAATACCTAGAGGCCATGATCCCTATAAAGTAGGGTCCGCGATCCGTAAATGTAAAAGGCCACAATCCCAATACTCATGGAAACTAGATCCCGTTGAGCGATGGATGGGGTTCCCTATTCCCATTGAGTTAAAATTCTTTAGTAATTATCTTAATTCTACATATGATTTATACATTTTATAACTCCAGTTTATTATTCCATCGTCGATAATATATATGTAGAAATCTAAATATTCTAAGTCTAGATTTGGGATTACCACATGATATGGATGGACATCCAAAAAATATAGAGATCGAGATCTCTGAATCGGGGGATCAAAGTCCCAATATGTAAGGGATCAAAATCCACAAAATAGAGTTATCAAGTTCCCTTATCAGGGGGATCGAGATTCCAAGAAAAAGGATCACACTCCCTCAATGAAGACCAAAAAAAGGAGCTACAGTCGAGATCCCTGCTTTGGAGTCGGAACCATGATCTTTTGACGTGCTCCTAGTAACTCAGGTTTAGCTATCTAACGAGACCGGCCCATCTTTATATTTTAAATTTCAATCAAGGTTCGATATTTTTCGCTATCATACTGCTCAAGGGATCAGTCGATCCCATATTTACGACATAAAATTGCCTTAGAAATAATGAAAAAAAAAAAAAAAAAAAAAAAAAAAAAAAGAAAAGGCACGATATCATATCAGGGGGAAAACTGGAATAGAACAAAATTTACGACTTCAATGTAAACCTCACAAAAATATGGACGAAACCTAATCTGCCATATATAAATTTTCATTTTCTTTTTCTTGTTTTATATGTTTAATTTCAAATAACAAAAAGTTTAATCCGAATACAAAATTTCACCGCTGCCACCATGCTTTCACGATCATTAAAAGGGCATGTATACATGAAAAATATTTTAACTATAATAAATACTTTTAATTAAGATTGGCAAATCTCAATTCACGCCATTGTTCTCACGATATAAAAAACTGCCCCCTTTGTATCGTGTTTGTCAAGATTGTCATCCAAGTTTTTTTAAACTTTTTTTTTTTAATAAAATTTTTAAATTTTATTGATAAGGGATCTTACAACCATGTGAATTTTGATAGCTTTGGTATGTCACAAAGTTTCGAAAAAATTTCTTTTCCTATGGTCAAGATTAATTGTGACCACCTTATACCAAAAGTAAATCGTCTCATTCTATACTTTTCCTATTAATAATTATAACTTGGTGCTAGATATCACAAATTAACATAAAATCCGTTCAGCCATCAAACATCATCGGCTCCCATTTCCAACACCCTGCTTAGCTACTTCAATTGTATCTCCATTTACCTCCTGATAAACATGCGCAAAGGAAACATCAAGCCTCTAACAAATATCTTCAATCTGAGGTCAAGTATTCTCAAAGCTCAAAGAATCTTCCAAACTGCTCTACACCAATGAATCATGTTCTAAGAGTCACCTTCTACTTATATCATGTTTCCAAAATCTCATGAACTACAATGTTTAGCCCTATCAATAAACCTTGTAACTCAACCTCACTAGTTGTTACCAACCCACATGGGCCAGAAAATCACACTGAAACAAGGTAATTCTGATCACCGACCAAATCTCCCACACCTATAGCTCGCAAATTATCTAAAGGATTATCATCAAAATTCTATTTAATAACCCATTAAGGAATGGAGCTCTCCAATTCCCCACTATCTTCCTCTTACACTCCCCCATGTTAACTTGTTTTCTAAGGTTAAATTACAAATCATGTCTTGATATATTCCAAAATTCTCCTCTAACCAACTGCCAATTTTTTATTGTAACTAAGATCTTATTTTTCACTCTTTCCACATCCATAACCAAACTCTAGAACACCATTACGGCTGGAAATACTTTCCAAATAACATTCCCAACCTTAGGAAGCTTGACCCTAAAATACCCATCAGAAGGTCCACCGCCTATGACCTAAAACACCACCATATGCTCCCTCTTCTGACTAAAAACTATACAATCCTTTCCCAGAGTCTATGACTCCATATATCATATAAAAGATGATGGAAAGGAATGTTATGGGTATTTCTCTCTCTCTCTCTCACTATCTCTCTCTACATATAGGTAGTTATCTCTCTCTCTCTCCACATATGGCTAGTTATCTCTCTTTTGTAGAAAGGGACTGGGTAGCCTTCCCGCGTACCTCTGGAACACAACCTGCAAGTGACTTGCCGGTGGCTAGGTGCATGCTGTGTGGGGCAACAGAAGTGCTACCGATGCAGGGAACCTTGGTGAAGTTTCCACCAGAGCGGGGAAGTGGGGAGTGAGGGACTTTTAAGTCCCGCCTTACACCGGTCCAGGTTAAGACCTGGGAGCTAGACAACGGGTCTTTGCTCAAGAGGATGGTTGGGCACGAAGTCAAAGGAACTTGTTCCCTAGAGACACTCTCGAATGCGGGGATAAGAAAATCCCCGATCCATATAAATGAGTTACAACACCCGTAATCCATAAGTAAAATGTGAAAAGATAATGAAAGGAGATAATAAAAGAAGAAACTAGCCAAACAATAATGATCCGACTAAGGGCTAGTAAGTCCCTAATGGAGTCACCAAGGTGGTTAGGTGCCTCGATCTCACCCTCCGGATCCCTTGAGCATCGGGCGGCACGCATCTCAGGTTTCGATGGAAGACGGGGGACGTTTTTTAGATCACTCTCTTGAGAACCTCATTCAAGAACAAGGGCAGGTGTTACCAACCGGTAAGAGGAATTTAAGGTGGGTTTGAGACTTACTCAGGCTGGCTCGCGTGGGCACCCTCTTAGATCACGAAGAAAGTAGCCCCCAATAATAAAACTGGTTCAAAATCGCCTCCCTTGGCTTGTATTCTTCTGTTTTCTACATTCACACACATATGGAATACAACAGGTGGGTCTGACCTCACCCTTTTCCACTTTGATAAACGTACACAAGCATGCCTATTCAAAAAGAAGAAGAGAAAAATAAGAGAAGAAAGACGGGAGAGAGAAGAATTCGAAAGAGAGGGAGGATCAGGGCAGCGACTAAGCTGGTGAATAATTAGCCTGACGTGGTAGCAAAACGGGATCAGTAACTAAGATCGGCTCATAGGATTACTACTACACGTCAATACCAATACCGACTAGCTAGGCATGATGGTTAGTCTGTAGTGGCAATAAAGCGGGCCATGTAATCCTGGCGCAACAACATTACAGCTAGACGATAGGACTACCATAAGAGGCCAACCTCAATCCCTCTTATTCGAATGAAAGAATAACAGAATGATAATTATGAGAAAAGAATAAGAAATGAAATAAGAGAAGAAGGGAACAGAAGGAATGAGGGAGAAGAAAGGAAGAGAAGAGTATGAAAGGCGAGAGAATAAAAGAGAAAGAGAGACAAGGAAGACACAGTCGACGTTACATATTACCGACTATGTTAGAAGGAAGAGAGAGAAAAATGCAATTGACGCTAAGCTTCATTGACTGTGTTATACAGAGGAGAAGAGAGAGAAGACAAAGTCGGTGCTAAGCCTCACCGACTATGCTAGAAGAAAAGAGAGAAAACACAGTCAGTGTTAGCCTTCACCAACTGTGTCAGAAGAAAAGAGAGAAGATGCAGTCAGCTCTAGGACTCACCAACTATGTCAGAAGAGAAGAAAGGGAGAGATCCAGCCGCCGCTAGGTTTACGCTGGGTGTGATGGAAGAAAAGGAAGAGAGGAAAATCAAACCGGCACAAGGCTTTGTCGACTGTTACAGAAGAGAGAGAGAAAAAAATCGAGCCAGGGCTAAGCTTCACCGACTATGACAGAAAAGGAGAGAGAGAAATCCAGCCAGTGCTGGGTTTCACCGACTGCAACAGAAGAGAAGGAGAGAGAGAAATCAAGCTGGTGCTAGGCTTCGCCGACAACAATAGAAGAAAAGGAGAAAGAGAAATCCAACGGGCATTATGCTTCACCGACCGCAATA